AAAAAATTCCGGCCGGCCGGCCGAACCGGACGGACCGGTTCCGACCGGCCGTCGTTTCCGGACGGCTTTCTTGCCGTCCGGCCGGCCGGTTCGGACAGCAACGGTCCGTCCGGCCGTGCTTTCCGGCCGGGTTTACTTGTCGTCCGGCCGGCCGGTCCGGACGGCTTTTAGTCCGTCCGGTTCCGGCGTCCGGACGGCTTTTAGCCCGTCCGGAACCGGCGACCGTACACGTATTTTTTCGTACCTCCGAATTTGACGACATTTCACCGTACACTTTCCTCTGAGATGTTTAGAAAAAATGAGAAGGGCAAAATTGTCCAAGGGGGGCGGTGACTAGTAATATGGGGGGCGGTGAATAGTAACACCCTTATAAAATAATTAAAGGGACCCCCATTTTAACCCCGGGCCTGGACCTGGCCCTGACCTTCTATCACATTAGGCTACCGAAGTTTTATGGGGAGGCCCATTTAGTGGTCGGCCTTTTTAAGGAACTTTATATTAGTGGCCCGGTCCAACTTTTAGAAACGCCCATGTGATTGGAGTTCTTTTGAGCTAGGCAAAAAGTGAGAGTTCTACTTCCAAATTAGCAATTTGCCCTTGTGAACCTGGGAGTGTGTTTGTCAACTAGTTAATTTGAGCTATGGCTGGAGACACGAGCCGAGTTAAGCTGTGCATTGCCCTTATCAAGTCATGATCGATTTCTTGAATGTGACCACTTCAATTGTTGTTTGAGTAGGGCTCGTAAAAAAACTTCTAGTTCGGTAGTTGGATAATTTTACGTACATTTGAGCTGCTCGTCGTCGAGCGCTTGAGCATACAAACTACTGGCACAAGTTCGAGCTCGGTCTAACTTGAGTTTGAGTCGAGCGCGTTGCGCGCTCGTCTCATGTTTGCGGCCCTAGTGATAAATTATTGAGTAAATAGGTCAATGATAAATTACTGATCACTAGTATTAAAAAACCAAGAGATTTAGTATCAATTTTTTATCTAATTATTAGTAATTAATTAGTTGTTTGGTACATAGTACGACGTAAACCTTATGATGAAGTACATAATCGCACAACAAAATCATACGATTGATTAATTTATGTATCAATGATTGCATGAGACAATCACAATATGTGAATAAATTTTGAAAAATGATAGTATGAAAACCAATTCATCTTTATTTCTGGTTATTTTCACTAGTATTATTTGTGTATACACGGTCAATTACCGTACAAGTCAGCACAATTTTAGCAAATTAATCCTCTGTCTGTTAGTTAATCACGTGGCCTACAGCAGTTAACTCTATGTTGTACCACAAAAAACGAAGGTTTATGATTTATCCCTAATAATTATAGTAAAAAATGCGGCAATTTTGCATAACAAACCCCATGTCCTGTCCACGAGTTAGTTACCTACTTCTAGACTGCAAAAATCTTATCCAACATTTTATATTACTTGGTAAAACTAAAAACAAATTATATCCATTTTAGATTTAGATTCCCGACTAATTTACCACATTATTAGGATCTCAACAAAAAACCATGTATTTTTTCTTACCTTAATCCGCTGCACTTGCTATATATATCACTCTATCACTCCAGTGGCTTTAGCAACTATCAGTGATTTATCAACTAAAAAGTAAAAACAAACTTCAATCATGGTATGTCACACAAAAATTCTCCAAATATTCCCAGGTTTTAGTTCAATCAGCATTTTTATTTGAATCCTTCAATGCTTGTTTGTTTGTTCGTTTTTTTCTTATGTTTCAGGCTAACGACACGAGCTCGACTAAGGACGATTTGAACTCTTGGCTCCCAATTACCGCTAGTCGCAAAGCAAAATGGTGGTACTCTGCTTTCCACAATGTTACTGCTATGGTTGGGGCCGGCGTGCTCGGCTTGCCTCTCGTTCTTGCCCGACTCGGCTGGTACGTACGCGTAAAATAGTTATCATTATCATTAATTCTTTATATTTTAATAAAAATGGTCCAAATTGAGATAATGTACAAAACATTTTTCCCCTGTCTAGGATTCCTGGAATCTCCATAATATTGCTGTCGTGGCTGGTGACGTGGTACACCGTGTGGCAGCTGATTCAGCTCCACGAGTCGGACACGGGCCAGAGGTTTGACCGGTACACTGAATTGGGCCAGCATGCGCTCGGCCCGAATAAGGGGACGTGGCTCGTGATGCCCCAACAGCTTGTGGTCCAAGTGGGGTCCAACATCGTGTACATGGTCACCGGCGGCAAATCCCTCAAGAAATGCCTCGCGCTCTTAACATCGGATGCCGATTTCCGAAAGACTTATTACATCATATTCTTCGGCGCCCTCCACCTCGTCCTCTCGCAAGTCCCGAATTTCAACTCCTTGAAGATTATTTCGTTAACGGCCGCCGTTATGTCTATAAGGTTATATAAACTTCGAGTTCGGGTTCGAGTTTTAGTAATTAATTAATCGATCGTTTTTTTATTATTATTATTATTATTAATACAAATCACGTGCATTGCATGTGCAGTTACTCGTGGATAGCGACGGGTGCGTCGATAGGGAAGGGCATCTCGCACCATAAAGTGGCGGCCTACGGTTTCAAGTCGACAACGACAGCTGGCATAGTTTTCGATATCTTTAGTAGTTTGGGAGTTGTCGCGTTCGCTTTTGCCGGACACAGTGTGGCGTTGGAAATTCAGGCGACTATTCCGTCGACTGCGGAAAAGCCGTCGAGGATTCCGATGTGGAACGGTGTGAAGGTGGCTTATTTAATCGTGGGGTTGTGTTATTTTCCAGTGGCGATATCTGGGTTTTGGGCCTTCGGCAATCTGGTGGAAGATGACGTGTTGTTATCCCTCGAGCACCCGGCTTGGCTCATAAGTTTAGCTAATTTCATGGTGTTTGTTCATGTCCTTGGAAGTTATCAGGTAAGACTTTTTTCTTTTTTTTTTTTCTTTTTTTTTTGGAATTTGATTATGAATTGATGATCATTGCTTGATTGAGGTTTTTCGAATTTTTGTAATGTTTTAAGGTATTTGCGATGCCTGTTTTCGACAAAATCGAAGGTGCATTGGTACAAAAGTGGAATTGCACGCCTGGACGACGCCTCAGGCTTGTGGCACGTAGCGTTTATGTTGGTAATTTTCAAAAAACTTTTGAAAAAACTCGATCTGGCGTTATCGGTAGAATCGAATATGTGACTAGTACTGATGCATTGTTTACTACCAAACTTGCATTTACATGATTCTTGATTGTGATATTGATGAATTAGGTTTTGAATAGATGACATTTCATTTTAAATTATTAGTATAAAATGGTGACGTCACACACACAATAATATAATCATTTTATGAAATTTGTTATTAGAGATTTATAGACCTTGCATTATTTTAATTTAATCATGTCAAAGTTGAAAACAATACTTGGGTTTGCATATTGATATTAAGAATGCTTAAGGTTTATTGTTTTGTTGTCACAGTTATGACATGTCTCGTTGGAGTAGTCGTTCCATTTTTTGGAGGATTGCTAGGGTTTTTTGGCGGATTAGCCTTTTCAAGCACATCCTATATTGTAAGTTCCTTTTTTTTATACTTTTGTAAGGAATTAAAAATTGACTAATTTTTTTATAAACAAAGAAAATAAATAAACCTTAATATTCAATTTATTATTATTATTATTTGTAAGTCTAATGCATTTTTTTTTTTTCCTTCGTACTTTTAATAGATCCCTAGTGCACTGTGGATCAAACTCCGTAAACCTAAGAGATGGAGCTTCCACTGGTTTGCTTGTTGGGTTAGTGATACCGATTTTAAATGTTCAAACTTGACTCTGCAGTTCGATTATAACACTAATGTTCATGTTTTCAATTTTTGTTTTTCAATTTCAGATTTCAATTTTGATCGGCATTGGCATAACTATAGTAGCGCCAATAGGAGGATTACACGAGATCATTGTATCCGGGAACAATTTTACACCTTTCTCATAGGAACTATGATCATCGTTTTTGAAGATGATCATATAAAATTAGAGTTTATACTTAAATGATCAATTTTTTGGTTTGATCGTCATTTTTGTTTAGGAAGGAGATTATCTCGCCACGAAAGAATGTAACGGTTGTTGCTTGAGATATGAGAAATGCAATCTATATTAATTGTGCTAGTATTTTAATTCTTTATTTTTTACGTGTGTTTTAATAAAACCATGCATCTTATGGTGATGATGAATATATGCTATGTTATATGGTTCATAAGGATGATATAAAGTTTGATTTATTAATACTTGTCACAATTATGTTACTTTACACATAACGCTACTTTTAAAATCTATAACTATTAAATATGTACATCATTTTTTGGCATCCATTATGTCAAATGATTGTGTCAAACTAGTTTAATCCATTTTATATGGTGGTTATTTTCTTGAGGGTCTAATGTGCATTTTCAATCCTGATATTAAAATATATGATAATTCTTTTTTTGTTTTTTCTCAAACATTAACAACAGCATGTACTTATTTTCTTGAGGGTCTAATGTGCATTTTCAATCTATGCATAAATAATTAAATTGAAAATAAGTACATGCTGTTGTTATAAGTTGGACTCGATCAATGTTTTTTCTTTTAAACCTGAATTGGCTCGATTGGTTGACTCAGGACGCATCGATGATCCACCAGGTTAAATCACCAAAAAGTCACAAATCTATCATCTCGTTTTATAATGTTAAACCGGTAACTAATTTGACTCAAAGGCCAATTTTGGGTCATTATTTGGTCCGGGTTTGAAAAACATTGGGCTCGATGGTTAAACGGAGTGAGCCCATCTAGGCTATACTAATGAGCTTTTTGAAAATTGTACATGACAGAAAAAATAATAATATTAATAATAATAATACAAATAATAAAATTATGAAAATTATGAAAATTATGAAAACAAAAATAAATAAATTATTTTGCGGGTGGAGCAAGCCGACAGCTACCACATTATCTTCAATGAGCTCTCTTTCGATTTCTTTACAGAGCTCATCTTTTGTTGGAGTCGTTCAAAACAATGGCAATAAGAGTCACAGCCCTTTTGTCCGAATTCAATCCCAACTTCCAAATCTCCTCGGTTTTACGAAACCCACATTTTCTTGCATAAATCACCCAAAATATTTGCTTCCCCACAATAGAAGCAGATTTTGCGGAATAAAGTCGGTGCAGCAAGATAAGGAAGCTCAGATTTCTCAAGTAAAAGATGATATCGACGATGGCAGTGGCAGCCCATCAACCAGCTTCCTGTCTTTTCTTTGCCCCTTGCTTAAATTCTTCTCTGTAAGTAAGAAAGATTGTAACTTTAAACCTTTTACTTACTTTGTATAATTAGCTACTTAAACCTGTTTAGCTCTTTCAGCTGACAATCCAAATTCTGCAGGTTTTCATCTGGCATAGTGAAAAAAGCTCGGTGTTTAAATTTTGTTTTCTCCGAAAGAAAAATGCTTTTACTGCTACATAGGTTATCAAGTTTGTGGTCTGTAATGCTGCTACTAGATTGTGTTATTCGTGTTCAAATTATAGAGCTTATGATTTGGGTATCTTGCAGGCAGGGGATCCTTCTGGAGAACGAAATTATCTACTGGAGGTATTGCTCACTTTAATTTGTTATTTGTTATTTATTTATTTATTTTTTTGTACTTGAAGAGATTTGTTTTAGATTTTCATTTATGCTGTTTACATCAGTTTCACGAGGCCTCTTTGGTTGCTGAGTTGTTATATCAGTGTTTAATGACTCTGTAAAATAATCTGACCTTTACTTGGATAGTGAATTATTCCATGATAGTGCTAAAGATCTGATTTTTCCTGTATAGGTGAATTGTTCTTCCATGTATTTTTTATTGAAAATTCTTGATTTTTTTTTTTTTTTGTCGTGACAGGAGGCTACATCTTCATTATCTACTTTAGCAAGGCTCCCATGGGGCTCTAATTCACTATCCGACTTATTAAACGACAAACAGAACGTGGATCCGCCATTGCCTTTGCAGCTCTTTGAATTCGGTAAGTACCTGTTTTCCTATGTGAGAAAGCACAAAGTTTTGTAACTCTATTCGTGACACATATTGTGGTTTTTGCCGTAATCACTAAAATCCAACTGACCCCTATATAATGACTTCGACTTCTGATTAACTGAAATATCATTAGGAATTGTCAACAGAGGCATGCCCCTTTTGCAGGAGGGTCCGGGAGGCCTTGACCGAGCTTGATTTATCTGTCGAGGTGTGTAAGAGTGTACCAGCTTATATTATTCTTTGGAATAATTTTGTACTAGCAAGTTTGCGAATTGTCAACTCTGATCTTACTCTTGTTTGTGCAGATCTTTCCATGTCCAAAGGGGTCAATAAGACACAGGGAAATGGTTAGAAGACTTGGTGGAAGGGAACAGTATGAAAATTTATATCAATATTTCTTGAACTTATAACATTTTTTTAGGCCCGAGTCATGTGTCAATTTTTATAGTGACAAAACTTTTATGTCCTTCAAACATTTTCTTTTTTAGGAAAAACAGGTTATTTGAGTCGCAAATGAATTTATTCATTACATATATAAAATATATCATATGTTTTGCAGGTTCCCGTTTCTTGTAGACCCCAATACCGGAACTTCAATGTATGAAAGCAGTAGGTTTTTGTTCCCCAAGTTTTTCGTACCTATCGTGCTCCTTTGCTCTTGGATTTTGTCACAATTTTTTGTTCTTTTGAGCTGTTTGATCTATAATCTTGCTATTCCTATTGAATGCACATGTCGCATGTCAGTTGCCAAGTCTTGTTTTATTTTGTAGGTATTATAACTATTGGTTTCTCTTGTAGGTGACATTGTTAAATATTTATTTCAGCGATATGGTGGAAAAAGTAGTCCTTCATTTGGCATATTGGAGAGGTGCTTTCTTTTCTGTTATATCTTATATTGATTGAAACTAATTTGAAGTATTAAATATAAATTAGCAGTTTCCCCTGTGTACTCCATTAGCAAGACAAAATGATGCAGTTTTTCAGTCAACTTATATATTTACGATTTTAATTCTCTTTTCTTTTCATCATTCGTATAATTGATTTATTTTGAACATACAGCACTTTGGTGACTGGGTGGGTCCCCACCCTTCTTCGAGCAGGCAGAGGGATGACACTATGGAAAAACGCCATCAAAGAGCCACCTCCTCTTAAGCTGGAACTTTTCTCCTACGAAAATAATGCAGTAAGTATTCACATGGCAGAACCACTTATAATTTTGTTCTTCTTATTTTAAAGTTGTTTTATTGCCTATTGCTTTACTAGTGAAGAAGCGCATGCCATGGAAGGGCTTATGATCATTACTATTGATTTATTTACTCGACAAATTGGATTGATTTTGGAGCGCAATTTCCATGCAGTGTGCCAGAATTGTTCGTGAAGCACTTTGTGAATTGGAACTGCCTTATATACTTCAGAATGTGGGTCAAGGATCAAGACGGGCTAAGTTACTTCATGAGATCTCGGGTTCGAAAGAGGTGAGCTTTATATAGGGTCGGATTACAATAAAAACAATTTCTGGGGGTGAGAACAGTGAACAGTATATGACACATTGACGCTATTTTTAATTGTATATGATACTATTTTTGATATAATATGGTGCTACCATTTACACATATGATAACATATGTAGTGTTGTTTTTAAAAAATAAATCATAACTAAAAATAGCATTAAAACAATTAGTCATTGTATTACACATAATTAAGTAGCATTCTCACGGTTCTTACACCAAGGATTGGTTCTTATTTGAACCACAACCCTATATATATATATATGTAGGGTGCAGTTCCAATAAAAACCCTTCTTAGTGTAAGAACTAAGAACCAATCCTAACCCTTAATTGCACCATAATCAACAGTCTAAATGGGACAAAATTATAAAATGGCAAGCAATAAAAGTAATATAGGAAACTCAATTTATTAGGAATCCTACTTTAGTTGCAACTCCATATTTTAAAAATAGGGATGTCATATCAACTATGGAAGGAAACTACCATTCATTAAAATAAATTGATATACTACAAAAAATGATGATGTTATTTTTAGCTTATTGTGATGCTATCAATCTTAAGCTATGTTTGCTAGACAAATAAACTAGCTTATAACTTATTTGATTAGCTTATAAGCTTCCTATATTTAAATAAGCTTCGTTTGGTAGGACAAGCTTATTTAAAAAGTTCGAGCTTATCTCATAAGCTTGTTTGAGTAGCTTTTCAAATAAGCTAGTTGAAATTTTTTTTTTTCAGCTAGCTTATCAGCTAATTTTACCAAAACACTTTTATCATATAAGTCATAAGCTATAAGCTATAAGCTCGAAAATTATTCATCAGCTATCAGCTATTAGCTAGCTTATCGGCTAGTTTTACCAAACATAGCCTTATTTGACATTGCTATATTATTATTATTATTATTAGAAAAAAATATTGTTATTTTAACAAATTGTAATGCTAATGTTCCCCATTATAATGTTGTTAAATATTGTTTGTATTGCAATTTGATTCGTTATTATGCTAACTTGTATAATCTCTTTTAATATAAAAACAAAAATGTTCACTAGTCAAATAATAACTAAGTTTTAATTTAAGAAACATAAAAAAATGCTGTTTTTAATTACATATAATGCTACTTTTTAATTATGTTTGCTGCTATTATTTAATAATATCTAAAAACAACAACAAAACTATATATATAACTAATATATGTATAAATAATAGCATCGTATGATATTAAAAATAGCATCATACATAACTAAAAATAGCATTATATAATGTTCTCATGATTGTCGCACCAAGATTATTATTACTATTTTATAAAATATACCCATAACAAGTAAAATTAGATGATGTATTAATTTGAATTTAACACTATCCATTTGAATTTTGACTATTATGACATAAAAATGTTTCGAATTGAAAATAATTGGATTCTTTTATTAAAGTATCCAATTATGTTGAATATTTTAAATATATTTTATTGTTTACTCCAATTCAACAACTAATTTTCTAATTAAATTTTAAAAAAGTTTATGACATATGTCAACTCTTCATTATTTATTTCTAGAATAAAAGAATTACAAAAAGTATTTATTAAAAATTATCACTATATACTTTAATGAGCATAGTTCAATTAAAAAAAGGTAAATAATAATATTAATAATAATAATAATAATAATAATAATAATAATAATAATAATAATAATAATAAACCCACACACCCTTCAATGTTGATTCGATGCATATAATATTATGTTAATTATATTTTCTCTTACTGCTAAAAATCACCTCATGTTCTCACCTTAAAATTATGTGAAATCACAAATAGATTAAAGGAAAAAGTAGACAAAACATTGGTGACAAAAAAATTGATACAAAGATAGGAAGATGTCATTATAGGAACGTATTAAACAAGTTACCATAGTTGCTTCATTATAAATTAGACAAAAATACCATATCCATTATTCATAAAATTTTAATCAAATTATGTTAATATGTTAAGTTCAATCACAACCATTAATATTAGTTTATCTAAGGGATAAGATGAGTTCTTAGTTCTTACACTAGGGAAGAAGTTCTCATTTGAACTCTTTACTATATATATATATATATATATAAAACAATAATTTCAACCAAAAACGAAAAGTTCTCAATTTAGTTGTTTTCCTTGATTGTACATATGAAATGAGTGTGTGTCATCTCATTATTGGATATTTACTTTATATATGAAGCTGAACTCTATATTGACCATCCATTTGATTATATACGAAACTCTCTCTCTCTCTCTCTCTCTCTCTCTCTCTCTCTCTGTGTGTGATGTAGGAAACGTACAAGTGGGAAGAATAAACGATTGATAAAACTCACAATCTTATTTTCATTCAATAACCAACCAAGGAAAATAAACTCCTAACCCGACCTTAATTTGTCCAATAAGACAAGATCTCTTACTAAATATTAAACAATAATATTAAATTCCTAACTTATTTTCTAAGACACCGATTAAATAATAATAATAATAATAATAATAATAATAATAATAATCTACACCAGTGTGTGTGTTGCATGACAATTAAGATTCTTTTTCCAGTGAAGTCATTAAGTTAAATACTACAGGTGCCTTACCTTGTTGATCACAACTCTGGCGTGAAAATTGGGGAATACAAGAAGATCCTCTCATACTTGTTCCAAACATACTCAGTTGCCAGCACCAATTAAACCGTGAATGTTAGCCCTCTTGACTCTGTTCTGTATTGATGTAGTTAATATGCGAATAATAAAAACAATGTAAATTGGTACTGTGACTCTATGATCATCCCTGGCTATATAGCATGCATATTGTTTTCTTTTTCGAACTCCCTTCATTCGTTTTTCATAAAATTTTCCTGAAACATTTATTGTCAATTAGTGCATGTTTTCAGTTCCGCTGCTAGCAATCATGATAAATGATGATATAAAAGGTTTTTTTTTTTTATGCATATATGAGTGTTTGTGAACTCTCTTTGCAAATCTGGAAATCGGGAGAGTTTTTTGCTCTCTTATTTCTGTATAATTTTGTTACTACTTGATATAAAAATGATGTCAATTATTGGAAGAAAAAGGAGACGCAAATTGAAGTGACAGGTCTCATTCATAATTTATTCACATGTCTAATGTTGGAAAATTTTATCCTATTGGTGAATATGAACTTGGCTATTTATACACTTGTAAGAGTGCAAGAAGGCATCTTCTGACTTGGATAGATACAATTTTGTACCAGAAAATTTTAGCACGCGAAAGCCTAAAAGACGACGAGTACTTGAATAATGCACATGTGCCTGATTAGCAATGGCATGCGTGCCCCTATTAGTTTCTTAGAGTAAGTATACAGCCAAAGGCAAGAGGTACAGGAAAAATGGATATCTTCATTGTCTTTATTTATTAATATTACAAATACATGTATGAGATGGTTTACAATTACACAATAGTAGTTTATATCACGCAAGTATAATTTATGTAGCTTACTGATATGCCACGCTTTTTACTCAAACACCATTGAATATTAAATTGATATGTTTATGATAAAACTATTATGATCTAGAGGAAACTAAGTCAATAGTGTCCATTTATGTCTGCAGATTTTGTTATGGATTTGATTGCATAATATTGTGTTTGACATAGCAGTTCTAAATTATTAGGACACAGTCTTAGATAGTTTGGCTATTTTTCAATTAGGAGTCTAGTCTTGGATAGTTTGGCTCCTTAGCTCTGCCTGAACCAATGATCTACTTGAACTACCCGAGAATTAATGAATCATCTCAAACAGCACTAATTAGAAGTCCTGATTCAACTACAAATACACCGAGCTATAAAACAATCCTTTATTATTCTCACTTACCAATAGAATGGATACTTGGTGGCCTTTACAGACCTTACTATGCTTAGCCACACTAGCCTTCATCATCACCAAAGTCCTCCGCAACCCAAACCCAAACTTCCCCCGGACCCAAAGCCATGGCCCGTGATCGGCAACCTAAACCTGATTGGCCACATTCCCCACCAATCCCTCCACTCCCTATCCCAAAAATACGGCGAAATAATGCTTCTAAAATTCGGAAACTTTCCCGTAACAGTTGCCTCATCCCCTGAGACAGCCAAGTAGTTCCTAAAGGCCCATGATGCAGTCTTTGCCTCCCGACCCCCACTCTCAGCCGGCAAGTACATATCCTTCAACTACTCAGACATGGCCTTGGCCCTTTACGGCCCGGAATGGCGGCAGGCCCGTAAAAGCTACATGTCAGAGATTTTCAACCCCAAGAGTCTCGAATCAACCGAGAAGATCCGGGTCGAGGAGAGCACTAATCTCATTTCCTGACTATTTTCTCTTTCGGGAAAGCCCGTTTTGCTCAGGGACCACTTAATGCGCTACACCCTCTTGACCGTTTGCCGCATGGTCTTCAGTGATTTGAACGAGCCATGTAATAACGAAAAGGGTGTGGAGAAATGGGTCGTGACGCTGGATGAACTGCAGCACATGCTCGACGAGTGGTTTTTCCTTAGTGGGGCGTTTAATATCGGGGACTGGGTGCCGTGGCTCGATTTTCTTGATCTTCAAGGGTAGGGGAAGAGGATGAAGACCTTGAGTAGGAAGCTCGACCGGTTTCTTAACAATGTGATTGATGGTCGTAAGGGTAAGAAAACGGTTGATGATGAGAGAAGGGTGAAAGACGTGGTGGATGTGTTATTGCAGCTCTCTGAGGATCTAACTCTTGATGTTAAGATGACGAGTAATCATGTCAAGGCATTAGTACAGGTATCTATATATATATATATATATATATTTATATATATATGTACGAGTTAATATAATCTAGCTTTTCAAATATAATCGTGGAGTGATAGCTAATATGATCAATACAGAACATTCTACTCGGAGGCACAGATACCTCAGCAACTGCAATCGAGTGGGCCATACACGAAATTCTCAAACACCCTCACGTAATCGAAAAGGCTAGAGACGAGCTCAACAGGGTGATCGGGAGAAAAAGATGGGGAAACGAGCATGACTTCTCTCAACTACCTTACGTAGAAGCTATAATAATGGAGTCGATGAGACTACACCCAATCTCCACTCTACTCGCTCCTCATTACGCGCTCGAGGACTGTAAAGTCAAAGGCTACGACATATCAAAGGGAACAACTGTCCTAATCAACGTGTGGAGCATCGGGCGGGACCCACGCGTTTGGGACTCGCCCGAGAGGTTTTAGGCAAAAAGGTAGACTTGTTGGGTGGCGATTTTGCGCTTTTGCCGTTTGGGTCGGGAAGGAGGAGATGTCCCGGGTATAACCTCGGGCTTAAGATGGTTCGATTGACTTTAGCTAATTTGCTACACGGTTTTGATTTGAGATTGGTCGAGGGCACCAGCCGTGAGGATATATGCATGGAGGAGGAGTATGGCCTCAGTACACATCCTAAAATCCCTATTTCCATTATTATGGAGCTTACTCTTCCAAGCCATCTTTACTGAAATCCTCTTCTGCTTTGGGTGATCTATATATGATATAATAAAATGTTTAATATGCACGTTCTATAATGGTTATTGTTGCTGTGCCACAAATGTTTACTACTTTTGGGGGATTTGGGGGGTCATAACCTTATATACTTGCTCGTGGAAACTTGTACTTAAACTTTATAAGCAATAATTATCTTCTTCATTCAAGAGGTTTGTAAATTTTGTGATAATGTTATTCTTTTAATTTTGTGGTAACATTCTCATTCATCCGGCTTGGTCAAACCGGTCATTATATATTTTATTTTGAAATACAAGCCTTAAAATATTCATGTCCGAGTTGCTCAAGGCCAAAAGAATCCAGTCGTTTGAGCAGATTCGTGTTAGTCTTTCGATTGTTTTCCCTCTTGGGTAAACCGGTTGTGCTCAAGGAGCAACTATATACTACTGTTCTAGAAATCGGCTTAGGCGGCCGCCTAGGCGCTCCTAGGCGGGCTCGGCGGCCAGGCGGGCGTAGGCGGACCTAGGCGCTCCTAGGCGGTCTCGGCGGCAATTTTTTCAATTTTTTTTTTTTAAATATTAATTACATTGTTTTGTTGTCATGTTTTCTTTAATATATATTAATATTATAATTTGGACTTTGGTGTGTGAATTTATTATAAGTTGAGATAGTTTTATTTTGTAGGTAGTTAAAATAAATAAAAAAATAAGGTATTTAATATTGATTTCTGGGCCTCGACTGGGCGCTTTAGGCGCTGGTCGAGCACCTAGCGACTTTTAGAACACTGTTATATACCCTTGCTATCACTACAAGACAGGTTTTTGGCGGTAAATATTTTCACGAATCGGAAAACAAGAAATCCATTATGAAGCTGGGTCATGGGTGAGTTGCGAGGCTTGCTTAGGGTCTGTTTGTATACCAATATATCAGTTCAAAACAAGTTNTTTTTAAAAAAGTGATATGGTTAGTTATTAGTGAGATTTGAAGTTTATATTAAAATAATATTTAAAATAAAATAATTAAAGTTGATTTGATGTAAAAATAGGAGAGATGTGAAGTGATAATTAGTTAAAATTATGTAAATAGATAAATTGTGAATTAAAGTTGATGTGATTTGTAAGAATGATTGGTTGATATTATTTAATTATATTATAATATTGAGGATAGTAGAGTTAAGTTAGAGTTGAGTTACATTTTGAGTATGAATTGAATAAATTTATATACAAACACACCTAATCGAGTGGTTTCGGCTTAATGGGGTGCCTAATGTTGGGGACTGACACTACAAGAAAATGATGAAATTTCAGTTGAAAATTCCAATGGAAATATATTATAATAGAACTCCAACGGCAATTCCAATGGTTATTCCAATGCTATTATTTCTGTTGGAATTTTTTCAATGGATTTCAACACAAATTCCAACAAAAATATTCCGTTGGAATGAGCTTTTCATTGAAATTTTGGTTGGATTTTGACGATCCCAACGGTAGCCAACAGAGGTGGAAACAAAATTCCAACGGAAATTATATATTCTAACATAAATTCCTACGATACAAAACTGTTGGAAAAATAGCCGTTAAAATCATCAAATTCCATCTAAAATTCCAATGAAATACACATTTTAACGCAATATTTTTGTTGGAATCATTTCAACGGAAGATATACCATTGGAATATCTGTTGGAATTTCTATTGGATTATATTACTGTAGGATATTCCGTTGGAATATAATAAATTTTTTGTAGTATGAAATACCATGACCTAGTTTTCTTGACGTGTAGGGGCACGTTGGGAAATTGAAGGAGTTGGCTAGGAAACTCAACAGAAATGATCAACTTGCAGTCGAAAATGTATGGGTTTTATCAATCGAGAAATAGTTTGTAACTTTATAATGGCGGGTCATTTGGGAAGATTTGTTTTGATGAACTTCTGCAAATTGTGTGATCGGCTAGACGAAAGTGAAATATGTTCTTATGATGAAGAATGGAATTGCTGATTGTAAGAAAAAAATTTAATATGTTCAATTTTTGTAAATGAAGGATTTGAAAAAAAAAATCTCAAAACTGTTTTAGGTTGAATAATAATTAGTTGAATGAGAAATTAAGTCTAAAGTAAAAAATGTTGGAAAATTGAGTTTTCGTAACTCAAAATTGAATTTAGGTAGCTCAAAAGTTGGTTAGATTGAAAACGGACAAGTTCAGACATGGAGACATTGAGTCTGTAATGCTGGCATCGTTGCGCCAGTGAAGATTGTGTGTGTTGTGGTTTGCAATATAGAATTGAAAACTTGACAATCGTTTCATTCTTGAGATTTTTGAAACAATAATAGTTTGCATTGAGGGCTTGTATATTTGTATTACTGTTATACAGATGTAAGAAACTAGCGAAAAAACGGGTGCGGTCCCACTAATATGAAGCGCACCAAAGAGGGGAAAGCCCATATGAAGCTCAAGTGGGATTTCATTCCAAAACCAATTGGTAGAAGGAGGCCCATATGAAGCTCAAGTGGGATTTCATTCCAAAACCAATTGGTAGAAGGAGGAGTAGCCATTAGACTTATAAGGTGAGTCTATTTTCTATGTATGAACGATGTGGAATAACTTACAAGTGTATTCTAACGCAAAGTAAAAAATCGTTGTATTCTGAAAGACGTTAGCTACAAACTGTCGGTAATTTATGTGGCTGCTTCATTTTAAGGAGATCTTATATTTATTCTTTCGTTTATACTTCTAATTTTTTAACCTTGATATTCACAAAATCGTGTGGTTGAAACTGATGCAAATGTTTGAGTGTTGCAAATTCGATATCCAATGACTAGTGAGTAGTGACAGACAGGAAATCAATTAACACGTGTTTGAGTCACTACAAAAAAAATGTTATATTCGAACGGGAAAATCCTACGATAATATATTCTAACGGATATTCCAATGGCCCAAACAAAATCGGCCACGTCCAAGAAGTCCTTCAGAACTACTGTGAATGGCATCAAAATGGCAGTAGGTCCAATGGCTCCATACACTGCATGAATATACTGGACCACCAAATAAAACCTGACAAGCTAGTATATTGAGGAAAATGGCCACGTGAGCAATCAAAGCCTTGGTTTTAAAAGAAAGACCAAGCAGTGCCTTAGTTTTGAAATAAAGAACAGGGCCAAATGAAGAACATGCAACATCCATCTAGTAGCAAGGATAGAAAGCTTAAGTATGAGCCAATTGTCATCCCGGTTCGTGTGCTCGAACAACAATGAATGGGCCGAAAACTTTTCGCCACTACATGCACGAGCAACTCGAACACAAACCCAAGTAACATAATCCTCCCTATGAACATCGGGCCGAAGAACTTCAGACAGGAGCATGACCAGGCACTTGCCACACACTCCATAACGCTCGAGCTTCTCGCCGTACAAAATGAAACTAACCAGGCCCTCAAGAAATGAGGGCACAACCCCATACTCGTTCGTCATATACATGTGCTGGAACTTATCGGCCGCAAGGGCATAGACAAGCCGTTTATGGCGATCAGACAACAACTCAGGGATCAACAACAAATGTTTTGCGGTCGGCATTCCTGAGAATTGGCCCTCCAGCAGGTTCTCCATAAACTCTGTGGCAGCGGCAGAGCTCCCGAAGAGCATGTCAGCCATGGCCTCGTCCAACATAGAGTCATCAGGGTGACTCCAACCACCGTCACCTCCATGAATTGCAAACGGATGTGTTGTTTCAGAAAAAATGTTTGTCGGAATTTCATTTTGTTGACCTCCAGAAACCATCTTCGAATTCTTGTGGTCGTCCTCAACATTATAGCAGCACCTCTTGCAAACGAATCATTATTGTCGACAGAGGGCCGGCCCCAAACGCCCAAATCTTCAGTCTTTTCTCCTTCAGAACACGTCCGAGATAACAAACTCGAACAGATTCCTGAGGGGGCGATAAATACGAGCGGCGAACAAGAAGGGCATAACCGACATCGCCGAATAAGTGTTCCTCCGGTGTCGCTGGTTCTTCGTCAAAAATAGGTGGGGCCGCATAAATGTCACCGTCGTCAACGGCATTCTCAGCCCCAGCAATTAGGGCCCGCGCACCGCCCCAGAGCCTGTCTGTGTCCCGTCTCCCCACATGCAAAGCACCGCAGCCCGACGCCCTGACGGTTTCCAGCCGCTACAGCCTGTGTGACGACACCCGCGGTCGTCGATGAAGAGCCCGCCGCAGCAGAAGCTCCACCCAGGCCTGGTCCGACGCTGTGAATATGTTGTTGGCCTCCGCTGAAACCTGCGAAGAAACTGTGCGTGGTGATTGAGTCACGCCCCTTGTTGCTCCACAAGCAGAGCATGTTGATGAGTTTCTGAAACGTTCTCCAGCGTAAAGAGGTTTAGAGTGTCCCGAATCGCGAGTCGTAGGCCACCAATATAACGAGATACCAATTGTTCGGTCATCTCTCGAATATCCACCCAGTTGAGAAGGTGGTAAAATTTATCAGTATATTCGTCCACTGATCTGGCTCGACGAAATCTTCGGCTTCCCGAGGCGTCGCTGTGACTCTTTATGGTTCTGCCACCAGACGTGTGGCGACGAGGCCCACTCAACGATGATCCGGTACTTCTTTGTAGTCGAGAATCGAATCAACCGCGGCCATCCAATTGAGAAAATTGGCCGCTCGCGAATTCCGAGATATCAATGCCAAAGGCAGTCCCACCGGTGGTCGCCTAACCTGTCATCTTCCCTTCTATCCCCTCGGATGCCAAAAGGATTCTCATCAGACAAGGTGTCGTTGTTGTTGATCTCCTCATCACCGAACGGTGGCGAGGCGCTCCGCCAAATCCCCGTCCGCCTCGACCACCGCGTTGCCCTCCGTGACCGCCGCGTCTGTCGGCCATGTCACGGTTTTCGTGCTCGCCGTGCAGATTGGTGTTGACAGCCAGCGTTAATTCCTCGATCCTCGAAGTGAGTTGAACCATCAGACGGTCGGATGCATCACACCGGCGCGCCAGGGACCGCATCATCGTCAACCGAAACCTCGGAGGCATCTCGGATCGTAGCCGGTCTCTGGATACCAACTGATGTAGCGCAGCAACAAAAGAAGGGAAGACGATAAAACTCGAACAGATAAAATTCTAGAGCATAAATAATCTCCTACCAGACTCCTAAATTCTATGGAACTCTTAACTTGCTAAACAAGTCCATAGATAAATATCTCCTAATAACTTATTAAGATAACTAATTAAAGGATAAAAATTAAATAGGCAAAGTAAATAATTATTTTAAAGCCGGCATGCGGTCTTATTTATTCAAGAAGGCTATCGCGAGTTCTTCTTCATCAAATATGGATGTAACATTCAATTGTGTGTGTGAGGTTAGTGAAACCTATACAAATTAATTGGCAAAGTTATGGTCGAAATTTATCCTACAAAATTCGGTAGGTCTACAAATAATGCATCCCACAAATTTTTAATATATAAAGCCTAGAAAAAATAAATTAATTAAAGCCTAACTAAATTAGTGATCGAATTGCATGAGAATATTAATATATCTAGCAATAATTAAAATAAGAATTTTCGTGGACTGCGCGCTAAGCTAGCTTTCTTGCACAAATTATTGAAAAAAAATCTGTCGGTGCTTGTGTATTGAAATTTTCTTTCACTAGAAGCCCTGAATTCAACTACAAATACACTTACTGCCCAATAAAATTTCCCCATATCACTTGCCAATAAATAAAAAAAAAAAAATGGATACTTGGTTGTTATTACAGGCCTTTCTCTGCTTTGCCACACTAGCCTTCATCATCACCAAAATCCTCCCCAACCCACGCCGCGGGCCGAAACCCAAACTTCCCCCGGGCCCAAAGCCATGGCCCGTGATCGGCAACCTCCACCTGATCAGCCACATTCCCCATCAATCCCTCCACTCCCTATCCCAAAAATACGGCGAAATAATGCTTCTAAAATTTGGTACATTTCCCGTGATTGTCGCCTCATCCCCTGAGATGGCCAAACAGTTCCTAAAGACGCACGATGCAGTTTTCGCCTCCCGACCTCCACTCTCCGCCGGCAAGTACATATCCTTCAACTACTCTGACGTGGGCTTTGCCCCGTACGGCCCGGAATGGCAGCAGGCCCGCAAAATCTTCACTTCGGAGATTTTCAACGCCAAGAGTCTGGAATCAACCGAGAAGATTCGGGCTGAGGAGAGCAGTAATCTCATTTCCCGACTATTTTCCCTGTCGGGAGAGCCCGTCGTGCTGAGGGGCCACTTGATGCGCTACACCCTCTTGATCGTATGCCGTATGGTCTTCAACGATTTTAACGAGCCATCAAATGAAAAGGGTGTGGAAGAATTGGATGAGCTGCTGGGCTTGCTTAACGAGTGGTTTCTCCTTAGCGGGGTGTATAATAATATTGGGGATTGGGTGCCGTGGCTCGATTTTCTTGATCTTCAGGGGTACGTGAAGAGGATGAAGGCTTTGAATAGGAAGCTCGACCGATTTCTTAGCTATGTGATTGATGGTCGTAAGGCTAGGAAAATGGGTGATGATCAGAGAACGTTGAAAGACGTTGTGGATGTGTTATTGCAGCTTTCTGAGAATCCAAATCTTGACGTTAAGATGACAAATGATCGTGTCAAGGCATTAGTACAGGTATATTATATGAGTTGACATATTAATCTAGCTTTTCGAGTTTATTCATTGTTAAGATATATTCCTTTGAAAAATTTTCATACTAACTCGGTAGTAAAATCTTGGTTCTTGGACTTGATACGCCTCTAGGGTGTGCATTCGTTTGGGATTTTGAGTGACATTTTGATACTTTTTTATATTTGAGACTTTTTAAGATTTCTATATTTTGGAGGAATACTGTGAAATATCTTAAGTGTGGCGGTGGGATTTGGAGTATGATTACATATATTGTTTTTCTTTTGAAATCGATCTTAGCAAATTTTGAAAACGTCTTAACAAATCCTAGTCTTAAATATCTCAGATTTTGTAAGGCTTTTTACAATCTCTAATGAATAACTCCAGACTTTTAAAAGTCTCAAAAAATTTAAATTAAATACAACAAGATTTCTGAAGTCTTTAGAAATCTCAAAGGAATACACCTCCTTAGTTTTGGTACTCAACTTTTCTACTTAATGGATTTATCTTGTGACAAAAACATCTTATCTACAGAACCTACTGGTCGGAGGCTCAGACACCTCAGCAACCGTAGTCGAGTGGACAATCCTCGAACTCCTCAAACACCCTCACGCAATAGAAAAGGCTAGAGACGAGCTCAACAGGGTCATCGGGAGAAACAGATGGGTAAACGAGTATGACTTCTCTAAACTACCCTACGTAGAAGCCATCATCATGGAGTCGCTAAGACTACACCCAATCTCCACTCCACTCGTGCCACATTACGCGCTCAAAGACTGCAAAGTCAAAGGCTACGACATATCAAAGGGAACAACTGTCCTAATCAACACGTGGAGCATCGGGCGGGACCCACAGGCTTGGGCTGCGCCCGAGGAATTCTCCCCCGAGAGGTTTTTAGGCAAAGAGGTAGACTTGTTGGGTGGCGATTTTGTGCTTTTCCCGTTTGGGTCGGGGAGGAGGAGATGTCCCGGGTATAACCTCGGGCTTAAGATGGTCCGAACGACGTTGGCTAATTTGCTACACGGGTTCGATTTGAGATTGATCGAGGGCACGAGCCTTGAGGATATGTGCATGGAAGAGGAGTATGGCCTGAGTACACATCTCAAAATCCCTATTTCCATTATTATGGAGCCTACTCTTCCAAGCCATCTTTATTAAAAGCCTTTTAAGCTTTGGTTATTATTTATGATGTCAAAAGATGTTAGTATATATACCATTTCTATGATGGTTGTTGTTGATGAGCCACAAATCCCAAAAACACATATAGTACAGGTTGGACCTAAGGGAGATTTGGGGATCATAATTACCTTATACTTACTCGTGGAAACTTGTCATGTTATGCAGCTATAATTGTCTTCTTCGTTCAAGAAACTTGTAATTTTTGTGACAATAATATTTTTGGCCACCATTTGTATGCGCCAACGAAAGTGTGAACCTAGGAATTAGTTATAGGAGAAGTGGGAGATGTCACCTCCCGGACTTGGATTGCTACAATTTTGTAATGTACAGTCTACATTTAGTAATTTTCATATGAATAGGTACAACCGGGTTCAACAACATGACCTGATGACCTGACGTTTGAAATCGGTAACTTGAGACAAGCCTGGGTCAGTTACCGGGCCAAGTACATATGTAAATATTGGTCTAGGAAATAAAGGAAAATTCAATTTTGCTTTCATGAAATGTCTGAATGTGTTATCCGGTAGACAAAAGTGAAATATATGCTTACGATGAAGAATGGAGTTCGCTATTTTTATTTTCCCTATGAAGAGCATAGTTAGAATGAAGACCATAATCAGTAGTAATTTTCAAACCTTTGAATTCCGTGCGGCTTGTTAAATAAGTGAATGCAATAAATCAAACTCATTTCCAATTGCCACAATTTGTTATGCGAGTTTCTGAAATGGCTTCAGATAATGAGGAAACGAGTGAACGAGAAAAACAAATTCAAGACAGTTTTCAGCAAGACGAAAGTGTTGCGTTATTA